ATGCATACGTACACACATATCTACATACACAGAGATACATATAGGGATATAAGTAGATCCTTCCTAACCCTTTAACCCTGATGTGCTGCACTTGGCCTAGAGTGGCCCACTCATGGCCTCGCTCATCGCAGCCTGTGCTCACGGGAGAGGACCGACATTAGCTGGTTATAGGGTTTTGGGGCATAATTATCTCGATTTCTGGCAGGATTGTGCCGATCGTGTTCATGCCGGACTATTTCGATTACTACATGTGTGGGCCGAGCTGGCAAAGATTACTCTGTTGTCAATGCATTCTGGTGGACTTCGGAGCATGCTGCATGCGAGCATGCATGTCGCATTCAGCAGTGATTTTGGGGCCCAAGGATTTTCAGTGTTGCTCTACTAGCATAGCAGTGCTAGCCATGGGCAAAAAAGCCAAGGCGAAAACGAGTGACAAGCTCGCGAAAGCCTGGGAGGGAGCTCGCCGCATCCGAAAGCGATTTCAGCGGGGTGGACCTTGGGTGGTCTTTCCTCTGCCCTCTTCGGATCGCAAAAAGAAAGATTCCGAAAACCTTCATCCTGTTTCGACTGCTGCCCTGGCCTTGAATGCTGAAACCATAACCTCGGTCGTGCAGTTGTACGGCCCCAACCCGGTACATGTGGAACCATTGCAGAAGCAGGCTTGGGGATGGTTGGGGATTCTTCAATATTTGCTTTAGCTTAAAAATCGCCTTGGGCAGGTGGAGAGATTGTACGAGTTGGTGGCGACCGACCCGGCTGCTGGTGCTTGCTACCGGGAGGCATGGGACATTCGCCGCTTGGTCACGTATGCATGGAAGAGGCAGTTGGATTGCTTCAAAAGGCAGCAGACCCCCCGAGAAGCTTGCTTGGCAATAGACTTGCTTTTGGTGCATGATGCCAGAGGTCCTTTAAGATTATTTTGAGGCGGACTCGGGAGCTTAGGACAGTGGAGTGAGGAATCTCTTTGCCTTGATCCAGGGAATCAGGGATGCCCAGGCTGAAGGTTGGGAGGAAGCAGAGGATTATGAAATGGATGAAGGAGAGTATGAGGAGGATGCCGATGTAGCTGAGGACCCGCAGGAGGAGCAGGAGGATTATGACGAGAACTACGAGGGCTGGGATGAGGAGCCTGAGGAGACTCCGAAGCCCAAGCGGCCGAGAAAGGCGGCCAAGAACATCTCAGAAGACAAGCCGAGCCCAAGATCTTCGAAAAAAACGAAGCTAGGAAAATTCGCCCGCCTGAGATCCCTTGCCCGCAGCAAGACATGGGCCTCTAGCGAAGCAGCCACCCCAAAGCCGAAGCTCCCCCGAGCCAACACCGACGAAAGCTACGTCGACCCTGCGACTGCGAGCAAAGAGCAGCAGCTGGCCGAACTCATGGACCAGATTGAATCCCTGCAGGTGAATGAGTAGCCCAGATGCATGTTACGGGTGATTCGTGGATGTTATGAGTGCAGGTGGGCCTTGGATTGTGAGTTAGTGGTTGCTCAGGCCCCACGACAAAGAGACTGGCCCCGCACGAGAAGGCATGTGGGTTGCACACGGTTCTTCTAGAAAAGGCTGATTTGACTCCTAGAGCTGCCAATGCAGGTGCACTGGCGAATGATGTATGTGCTGATGAGGAGTGTTTTTTTGGATTGCATCCTTAGTTCCTCTATTGTGCTTTGAAATTTTCGGCATCAGGAGACGCAGATTCTCCAGGATGAGCCGGGGTCACCGTGCCGGCCGAGAACTTTGGACTTCAAGGATGTGGCATGTGCGATGTCGATGAATCTGCACATGCATCTCTATAATGAGTGCTTTAGTTTTGAGCATCCATTTAATGTTCATGCAGGAGGGTGACACTGATGACACGACAGTGGCATCGTCTGCCGAGAAGAAGAACGGGTGCGAGCCGGGCGAGGACTGGGGCGAACAGGGTGAGGAGGAAGCCGCTGACGATGACGAGATTGTTGAGGAGACGCCGAAGCCGGCTGTGGATCCTCACAAACAAGCTGCTCTTCGGGCCAAGATCCGCAGTGAGATGAAAGTGCGAGGCAGAAATGCAACTGCCAAGAAGGGTTCTCACGCTACGGATGGGGATGAAGAGGACGACGAGCCCAAGCGGGGACGGAGTCGCAGGGCGAGCTCTGCGAAGAGTCGGAAGCCGAAGGCTTCGGATCGCGAGCCATCGGCAAAGGCCAAGGCGAAAGCGAAAGCTAAAGCCAAGGCCAAGACGAAAGCTGATGCGACAGCAAAAGCCGTGCCCAAGAAGAGGGGCCGGCAGCCGAAGTTGCGAGTGCCGCCGATTGCCGAGGACGGTACGGAGCTGGCCCTGGGCTGCAGTTCGTGTCGCTGGGCAGAGATCGGATGTGGCACATGTGAACGGGCCGACTTTAAAGGAAAGAGACGCAGTGATGTATCTCCAGAGACAATCCGCCGTGCACAAGCATCCTTAAAGAGGAAGCCCGAAAACGGGGCGAAGTAGTGTGCATTGGGTTCGGCAGAAAGCTCTGTGATCTTCTGTTGTATGCACATAGGTTGCACTTTTGCTGTAGTGGGTTCAATCAACTACAAACCATTTACATCCAGAGAGCTGCTTTTGGTCTGCCTCCTACTCAAGCCTTGGTCCCGACACAGCCGGCTAGCTGCTCTCACACGATGGCATTGTTCATCTGTTCATAGTCATTACATTCATTACATCACATCCCCCGAATCCCGGAGCCCCGGCCACAGTAGGGCTAAAGGCTGAAGTGCTTTTGATTGTAGAGTCAGCACGGGAATGCTGACTCGTTCGTCTGAAGACATGCAAATCTGCTGAAGAGAAAGATTCGCCGCATTCGTCGAAGAGACGAGCTTAAGTGTTTTTACAAACAGTGACCAAATATGTGCCAATCCCCCACGCCAGGTCCCTACGTCTACGACAATGAGCTTCCGAACAGCCTATAGGAGCACTTCAGGTGGGATCTTTCAGTCCAGTATGGCAAGCTTTACCTTTTAATGATCGCCAGGCCTCGTCGTCGTCGGATGAGCCGAGCTTTTCGAGCACGCTATGCTTTGCCTGCGAGCAGTGACACTTCTTCAGGCACGAACCCTCCTTCCGTTCTTGGGTCTTGGCAGTGCGGTTGTGTCTGAGCAGTGTAGAGCTGCCTGTGGCAAGTGTTTCCACTTAGCACTCTGGCTCGCGAGTTTTTCGCTGTTCTGCTAAAAATATCATAGATCCTTGAAGTGGGTCGCTTGTAGCAAGCGGCTTTGTCTGCTTCAATGGTTCCTGTGGATGAACATCTGTGGCACCTCGCCTTGAAATACCTCGTCTATGTCTGTGCAACACTAGATTCGTCTTGCCTCGCGATGCTATCTAGGTACACGTGGCGACTGTCTGGAATCTCGTGGCTGGCTCTTTTGATCGGCCCTCCATGCTTGACGAAGGCAGCAATGGAGAACTTCTTCTGGAATGTTTCGAAGTCTTCGTGAGGGTGATAGGTGTCTATATAGGGCTTATAGTAGGGATAAGTAGTTCCGTGGGGTATTAATGAAGTAGGGGATCTATAGAAAAATCTAAACAGGCCACCCGAAATCCTAAACCCAAACACATCCCCAAAAGCCGTTGCAATCCCTACA